GCACGGTGCAGGTAGGCAGGATGTAGCGGGGAGATTGTTATGTGTGGAGCTAAGATGGATATGGGAGAGAGGAGAGAGGAAGAGGAGCCAAAAACATCCAAACAAAAAAGAATGCTAGGGGACCTTGCCGTTGGAGTGGAGAGATGAGTGACTATGAAATGTAGAAAAACAGAAAGGGGAAGAGGAAGAAAAGAAAAGAATAAATAAATAAAAATTGGAAAGGTTAAAGAACCACAGAGTTCCCAGGGATCCTACCAGTGCAGCTATGAGGTCTGGGGAAGTCGCTCTCAGGTGTTGCAGTACAGCCTGACTAGAAGGTGTAGAGGTATACAATACCAGGTTTTCAGGGAACAGAAAGAGAAGGAAGATATAGAGAGATGAGAAACTGAGTAATGAAGAAAGACAAAAAGGGAAAAAGAGGGAAAATAAAACAAAACAAATTAAAAAAAAAAAGAACAAGAAAAGCCCCCCAAAAAACAGAAACAAAACAAAACAAAACAAAACAATGAAAGAAGAAATGCTCTCAGGGATCCCTCTGCACGTCTGTGCAAGTCAAGGGGGTAGTCTCCTTGCCATGCAGCACTGCCTGGCCAGAAAGGGCTCCCAACTCAAGAAAAGGAAAAGAAAACAAACAATTCAAAAGAAGCAAATGAACAAAAGCCCCGGGATCCCACCAGTGCAGCAGCCCAGACTGGGAAGCAGCTTCACACTTGAACGGAGCTCCACAGATGGCGCACAGAGCCAGGTATTTGAGCGAAAGGAGGGGGAGGCGGTGAGAGGTAAGGAAGAAATCAAAAGAAGCAGAAAAAAGCAACACCAGCAGCCATCCAATGGCACTCAGAGAGCTGGCCCGTTCGGGTGTGTGGAATCCAAGCAGCTGGTTTTTCCCAGACAAGAGATTGTGGCCACGGGAAGCAGAGGAGGCCGAGTGGGGGTGAAGAAGGGTCGGGGGTGGGAAAGCGTATATCGCAAATTACTGGTTGTTTTGCCTCCCGCTGGAAGCTCCGTGAAGCTGCTTTCTCGTACCCCGTTTGCTGGTCTCTGATAGGAGTCCAAGATGGCAGATCTGCGCTGTGTTTGCTGGTGGGGGACCTCTGCATGAATCTCTCCTCGCTCTCTGTTCTCTGTCAGTTTTCTCACTCCAGTTGGTGCTTGGCTGAATTCTTTATCTCTTCATTTGATGTTTTAGGGTTTCAGGATTGTTGTTTTCTGTGTTTGGCTTGGTTTTTCCGATCTTTGCTGTGGAGGGACGGCATGGTGCTTCTGCCTAGAGCGCCATTTTGCTGCAAGTCTCTGTGCTATATTCTGAAGTTTCTTTAAATCAGTCTTCCAGTTTACTGATTCTTTCTTCAACAATGTCTAGTCTATTCCTAAACCCATTCATTAGGTTTTTAATTTCAGTGATGAGATTTTTCATTTCTCCAAGTTGTTTTGTTGTCTTACATATCTTATGATTATGCTTTACAGTTGTTTGTTCCTTGCACATAATTTCAAGATTGCCTTTAAAAAAATATATTAATCATTGCTCTTTTATAATTTGTTTGTAATATTCCAATGTTTGAAATTCTTATAGCTCTGTTTCTGCTGTTTCTTCTTCCCCTGGCTGTCAGTCCTGGAGTTTTTAGTTGTTGTGTTCAGTTACCTTTTATATGAGCTCCTTATTTTCTTTAGAATGTTATTTGTGAATTTCTTTGAGGCCTGAGAAGAGGGTGGATTCCTCTGAAGAGGAAATTTCCTTCTAGGTATCCAGAGGTGCTGCCAGTCTAGGATAACTCTAAATTATATCCTGAGCTTGAAGTTTATAAAACCACCAAGTTGTGTGAATTAAGGCCTCATATCAGCAGGAGGGCTAGATTGTGGTTCCAATTTTATCAGTTGTGATTTTCCCCCATTCACTTAATGCCTAAAGGACCTTAGGTGGTGCAGTGGTTAAGCACTCAGCTACTAACCAACAGACTGAAGTTGGAACCCAACAGCCACTCTGCGAGAGAAAGATGTGGCAGTCTACTTCCAAAAAGATTTACAGCTTTGGAAACCCTATGGGGCAGTTCTGCCCTATCCTATAGGGTTGCTATGAGTTGGAATAGACTCACAGCAATGGGTTTTGTTTTGTTTGGGGTTTTCACTCAATGCCTAGGTTTGAGAGAGTTAATTTTCTTTGCTGTATACAAGGGATGGGAAACTATTTCTGATTCACTCTTACACTAAAATTGTAGCCCTTTTGGTCACATATTTATGGGATCAGAAATTCCTATTACATTTCCAGTTTTGAGTGGGCCTCTAGACTTTACCCCATTGCCCTGTGAGGCTATGAAAAGTTTTCCCTTGTGATTTTAGGGAGAAAGTTACCTGCAGTGCTTCGGTATTCTCTCTGGTTTCCTTCCTTCTGTTCCCTATTTATTTAGTCTTGAGACTTCGCCACTCTCTCGCTAGATTATAGCAAATATTTTTGATGTTTTATCCTATTTAGTTGTTTTCAGCTGGAGGGTAAATTCAATTACCTGGCCTGACATATTATTGGAAGTAAAAGTCCTTTTTATTTAAGTACTTATTTATATTTTATAATCTGTATCTGACAATTACAGAACTTGATGTCCTTAAATTTCTAATTTTGTCATATAATTTTTTCCTGACTCTCACTCATATTAGTTTTTTCATTTAATTTGTAAATTTTCATTGTGAACCCATGTCCAAATAGCTTTATTAATATGAATAAATATTATTCATAGGACAATTTTTATTGTCCTATGTAATATTTGTGTCTGATATTAATATGTAACTCTTACTTTCTATTCCTAAGTGCCTGGAATATATTTTTTATTTATTTTTAGTCTTTTTGTGTCATATTATCCAGGCAGGCTCAATATAATCATAAGGGACTTTAAAGGTGGAATCTACCCAGAGGCACCTTAGAAGAAAGGCCTGGAGATCTCTTTCCAAAAGATCACAGCCATTGAAAGCCCTGTGGAGCACAGTACTACTCTGAAACACATGGGGTTGCCATAAGTTGCAATAAACTAGACAGTAACTGGTTTTGGTTTTAAAAATTGAAAGTAGGCAGAAGAGGTAGTTAGAATGATGCAGCATGAGGAGGGACCTGGCCCAATGTTGGCTAGCTTTGAAGATGGGGGAAGGGGGCCATAAGCCAAGGAAAGTGAGCAGCCTATAGAAATTAGAAAAGGCAAGGATCCTCCCCTAGAGCCTCCAGAAGGGAACAGAGCCACCTGATACCTTGATTTCACGCCACTGAGACTCATTTTGGACTTCTGACCTCTGGGCTTATGGCAGTTTGTTCCAGCAAGAATGGAAAACTAATACATTAAGGTAATCATTTGCTTTGAACATTACTAACCCCTGATGAGGCAGCTGGGGTTTTCTGACCAGCCCCTTATGCCCAATCCTGCTTTCCTTTTGTTATTACACTGTTAGCGTCTTCATAAAGAGATGGGCAGAAACTCTAAACTTAATAAATCTGGTGTGCTCAGTATTATGTTTTTGAAGCATTACTTCGAGAGGATAGCTTGATGCAAGGGCAAGTTTGACCAGGTGTTAACAGTGGTTTCAGTTACCTGTGTTTTCCGCTGCTCTCAGTAGCTACTGTTTCCTGTTTCCTGCTGATATTCCAGGAAATAATAAAAACAAGATAGCACGTACAATGAAGTTTGTGACCACACTGACACAGTGTCCCCCTCCTATTTTTGCCTAAAGTAAATTAGTTCAGGAGTCCCTGGGTGGTGTACACAGTTAACATGCCATGAGTTGGAGTTGACTCAACAGCAACCGGTTTAAATTAGTTCAGTTTTAGCCAAGTATAAGGCATTTGAAGGGAGATCAATGCAAGCCTTTCACCATAGGAATACATAGCTCAGTGGGCACAAAGGCTATTAAATAAGGCATACAGAAAATGTTCAGAAAAACTACATAAAAATGTTGTTAACATTACATCTCATATTTGTGAATAGGAGAAAATGTACGGTTAGATGGGTTTCAAATGATGACAGCTCTGGAGTGAAGATACGCCCAGATTTTTGTCATTAGTTATATAAAGAAACAAGAAAACAGGTATTCGTATTAAGCCCTGATAATGATAAAATGAAGCATTGGTACAAAAATAGTAAGCACCATGTTATGAAATGCATCAATATTTGTGTTTACAACAATAATCACAGCAATCAAACAAAATGATAGCCTATTAAAATAATTATCTTAAAAATGATATTTTTTGAGGTAAAGGGCAACTATAGAAACACAATAATCAAGCTGGCTAAAATGGGAAGAGGTAAAGTGAAGTTCAAAAGCACTTCTGAAGAAAAAAGTAGAAAGGCATAGTTTATTATTACAATATAAGGATGAGGGATCTTGGCAGTAGAAATTCTTTAAGTATGAGTATCTTCAACATTATGATAGGAGTAATTTGGACCAACAACATGAAGAAGAAATAGAAATGTTTTTTAAAAACTGTGGAATGAATCTAGAATTTTCTTAGTAAGTGACCAGTTGGAGTAGACGGGTGGACATTCCTCCCACTATTACTCTGCTTCTACTACCAAAAAACCAATGAAAACTAAGCACCTGCAGTATTAGCACAAAATTAATAATCAGATAAGGGCACCAAGTAGAATTCAAGACTCAATAAACTGTTTTACCTTTTAAGATACTTTAATTTTGCAGTTATTGATTAATTAAAAAACACAGTTGTTTTCAGCATTTCCTAGCTACAGTACTGCATAGGAAATTTCATTCTAAACAAGAAATAATTAATGAAATAACAACACACCTTAACATTTTACATTGATAAGTTACAGTTTACAAGGTGCTTTCACATTATATCATTTGATTCTTACAACAAGCAGAAAAAAAACAGTCAGTGGGAAAGAAAAATGATTTTTTTTTTTTTTGTCAGGCTTACAATGAGTATTTCAGGCCAATGGGCAGTCAATACAAGAACATACCAAAAACAAGACAGCAATACCCACAAGCCACAGTATCTTTTTGGTAGGTTGACAATTTGATATCAATTGGGTATTTAGCATCAGTGAATGAGGAATGAATTGGAACAGACACAAAGGTTCTCATGAAATTCAAAGAACTGTAAGAACACTGTCAGAGATACAGAGAAGAAAGTTGCCCTAAAATACAGCCTTACCAAGACTTACTTCAAAGCATGTTATCCCTTCGAAAAGTCAAATAAAAAAGAATCTTCTCATAGCATGTGAAAGCTAGAAGGGACCTTACAAACTGCCTCATCCAATCCTTCCACTTTACAGAGAAGAGACCTGTGGCCAAGGTTGTGCTGACAGTGACACCCCAGGCCTGAAACGCAGACGTCCCAGCTTTCAGTCCAGGGCTTCTTCCTCTACACGGTGGTTTCCTTGCTATTTACTGCATAAGAATGCAATAGCTCCTGTTTTTAATAATGTAATTTATGTTAAATACTGATTCATACTACTTATTTTTTTATTCAAGCTTTTATCGATGTTCTTGGCTAAATTGTGGCTGAAATTAGAAGTTTTATATACTTTAAAAATATTCCAATTCAGTGTAGTTGATTGGTTGGAAATAGGCTCCCATGACATAATTGAAAGCTTGCTCATAGCCTTTAACAGAGAGTAAAATGGAAAGACTGAATAGACCTCAAAATCTGTGTATGCCTACGGGTCAATTCTCACATCGGGATGCTTAGGGTTTAATTACCTACGTAGATTCTATAGCAAATTGTGCTGGGCACTAGTAATTTTGTAGAAAAAAATATTTTTAGAATCCATAGAAATCTTTTCAATTACTGAAAACTAAAACGTAATCATCAAATTGTCATCCCCATGATTTATTAAAATAATTTTACAATAATATACAACCAAGCTACCACAGCATTTATAGCATACAGATAGAATACAATGATCAGCATGTTCTTGGTTCTAAATGAAATACAAAAAAATTAATTAAAATATTTTATACAAATGATATTTTAAATTTATTAACATGATGATATATATATATATATGTATATATATATATATATATATATATATAGCTTTGTTACTTGCTACAGCAAAGGATTTAATGTTTATCTTGCACATTTAAATACAGGTGGACCAACTGAAGTCAGCATCAGCCTTTATGTGACATTACCGTGCAGGAACACTTGACAACCAAAAGACAGACAGGATGGTGGAGAGAACATCTCAGTCAGGATTTTTCCACGTCTTCAAAGGTTTTACAAGGGTGAAAAGAAGTAGTCCCAGTGACACCCCTGCACCCACAGTGAAGCGAATACAATGGTTATATACATGAAGCTCAGTTTGATTAAAAAGAACTCATTCTTTATGCATGTAAATTGATCATAAAAAAATGAACCCAGTTTATTTTAAACTATTTTGGTGTGCTGTTTAAAGATAGGTCACTGAGACATAGAGATAAAACCAGATGGGAAAAGTGAAAAGCAAAGAAGAAAAAAAAAAGGTAAGAAAAATGAGTTAAGCCATGGATTCTCCACAAACACTGAACTAACTGTGCAAAAGTGCTTGAAATGTCCATATGACAGCAATGTTGTTATGTCAGTTGGCAAAAAGTATATATATAAAAAAACAAACCCTCAAATACTAAAATTGTACCTGCATGATCATACATTCTGTTTACTGAAAGAAAAGAAGTTAGAAATGATGACATATCTAAAAAATATCACCACTCAAAATGAAAATACGGTTGTGGCAGTTTTAGAAACTTTGTCACCTTTCCTCACTGATGAGGCCGGGGTAGGGGCACCCCCCACAGGAGGCTTACAAATAAAGTCCACCAGAATAAAAACCTGGCCACAACTTCTTTTGTTCTTAACCATTAAAAAAAAAGCAAAACAAAACAAACAAAAATACTTCATTTAAATAAGAGGGCCTCTATATTATTTGTTTGCAAGGATCAAACCATTTGATGACTTAGCAAAGTGTTTCTCAAAACTAATGTTCTTTTTAGTTTGTTTCTTTTCCTTTAAAAAGTTTACAATGAGACTATATTAGAAACTTTAAAATTTGTCACCTTCATTAGTCATGTCCTATTAAAATACTGGCTAAAACCCTTATGGAAGAGTTAGGGTTCAGAAACCCTAGAACTCTTCTCTAACATCTACAGAAATGCTGGTACCAGATGAAAGAATCTGGGAGATGATCCATATCATTAGTTGTTCCTGCTGAATGAGACACATGTGTCACATTGCACAGGCTGGTCACTTTATTACTCAGAGGAGGATGATATAAAAGGGGGTGAAGGGAAACAGAACCTCTGATCGACAGGAATCCACATTGCTGCATCTAGCTACTCTATATTAGTCTATCCATTTTTTTTTTGCCAAAATAGTGAGTTCTAAGAAAGTTATTGTTTTAAATTAATTTGCATAAATTTCCTTTAGATGAGATTTCTATCCTCAAAAACTCAGAAGTTTTGGCAAAAGTGAGTCTGAACTACTCAAAGTAGAAATAATTGTAAGAAACGATAGCCTCAAGCCATTGATCAACAAAAATATTAACAAGTACTACTAAAGGCAACACATGAGTCCCTTCAAATATCACGTAGCCATAACACTGCCCATCTGAAACACAAACAAAATAAAATGGAGCACTGTTTGGAAAAAAATGAAAATGAAAAGGGAAGAAATGGATGTAAAAGGAGTGGAGAAAGACAAACCAAAGAGAAGTAGGAAAGTGGTCTAGTGCTGTGTTATGACACAGACAATGCTTGCTTAGCGGTGCCTTGTTACATAGGTGGATGCAGAGTGCACACACGATGATGGCAATAAAGACCTTACTCAGGCGTTCAAATGAAGGAACTAGGTAACTGCTTCAACACAGGACGGTCTCAGCTCCACCTTATCTCTCAACAGAGTGCAAAAATTGAGTGTGAGCTCTGATGTCATCTTGTTGCTCCTTTTTAAAATTCACCAAATTCTTTTGCACACTTTTCTGTTATAGAGACACGGATATCTTCTTCTTCATAGTCATCAAAGTTGCTGGTATCTCCAGAACCTCTGAACTTTGGGATGAATGGAGCTTCAACCTATAATTGAGATAGAGAGAAAAAAATAAGAAACAGGTATAACAAATGCTTGAGAGTTTACAAATGCTAAAAAAAACCAAAAACAAAAACACCCCAAATTTCCATTATAATTACACAGTGGCATTTTATAAATGCCATTAAATCCCACCAGATAATTTGCATTAGAAGAAGCAGGAAACAGGAAATTTGCTATTAAACTCAGCATTTTCATTCAAGGAAAGGTACAGGCCAACAAAGTACTTGAGAAATTTTGAGGATAATTAGCTTTTGGCATCAAAATGCAGGCATCTAAGGTTACAGACCTCCATGTTTTCCTTTATTCCTTATTTCTAAAGCCTCTCTTTTTCTATTCCTTTCTTCTTAATTCCTTTCTCCAGAGTTCACAGATAACTCTTACGTTTACTTTTAATCTCCCTTTATTTTTTTACTCTCAAGTTTTTTTTTTTTTTTTTTAAATCTGTCCATCAAAACTTTCTGAGAAGTTGGAAAGAAACACATCTCTTTTAGAATTACAGAATTGTTAAATCCTGAACATATTTCTTCTTTGATCCTAACAATGCCTTTCTATTATTCAATTTACGGTCCTTATAAAGATTATGTGGTGTACTGAATATGTTTGAGGAAAAGATTTTAAAAGCTGAAAAAATAATTGGTGTAGCACTCCATGTTGTTGTTGTTAGGTGCTATGGAGTTGATTTCAACTCATAAGGACCCCATGTGACAGAGCAGAACTGCTCCATAGGGTTTCCTAGGCTGTAATCTTCATGGGAGCAGATTTGCCAGGTCTTCCTCCTATGGAACTGCTGGGTGGGTTCGAACCACCAACCTTTTGTTTAGCAGCTGAGCTCTCAACTGTTGTACCAGGGCCTCTCTGAGTTTATAAAACAGTTAAACACATGAGTTGTTTCCCTTTTTCCTCAAAACAATGCTGTGAGTGAGGGAGGATGTACCAGGGCCTCTCTGTACCAGGGCCTCTTAACCGTTGTACCAGGGCCTCTCTGAGTTTATAAAACAGTTAAACACATAAGTCGTTTCATTTTTACCTCAAAAAAGCACTGTGAGGGATGAAGGATAGGAAGGTATTCTTGTATTTTACAGATTATGAAATAGAAAGTCAGACTTGCCCAAGTTCACGGGACTATGAAGTGACTAAAGCAGGTATCAAATTCATAATTTCTGACTTCTGGTCCAGAGCTCTTTCTGCTACATGCCTTTGGCAATTTTACTGCTCATAAGTGCTTGGTCAGTCTTTCAATAAAGAAGACTATGAAAATGATTGAAATTTACTATCATTTTTGCATCTCCTATATAGTTGCAATTAAAAAGGTATTAAAACAAATGGTTAAATCTAAGTACTTGATGATGTCTAATTATAAATTATCCAGGGATTCCCAAGTCCATCTCTATGGATAGTCAAGATTTGGCTGTCAATCATTTTGCCCAATACTATAATCTGCTCATTTGCCACTTCTTGACAGATACGCTGTTTACTACTTGGGATGAGTCAAGACCCTTGAAAAGCACATGGACTCTAAATGAACTGTAGCAGTTCAATTCTATATCATTTTAAGAATAATTGTTAACAATCCAATACATAAGATGGATAGAGAAATAAATGTTCACTAAATAACAGCGGGATATTTTAGTTTTAAAAATAAATACAAAAGGAATCAAAATACATCACAAATCTGTTAAAATACTAACAAAATTGACAAACTTCAAGCAAATCTAAAAAACACATGTAAATATATCATTAATTAACAATAAATATAACAAAAATAATATAAACATTAAAAATTACAAAAGGGATATGGATGGTTATATAGGAAAACATAAATTTCTAAAACTGATTCAAGAGGCAAAAAGTTGAAGAGACTAAAGAAGAATTAGCTTGTTAAACTTCCAGGGTAGACACTAGATAATTCTTTGATTATCTGAACAATAAAAACCATGAGAAATTTCCAGGCTCATTTCAGGAGTCCAGCATAATCCCAACTCCAGAAAAAAGACAACTACAGGTCAATTAAACTTATGACTATAGAAATTAAATTCCTAAGTAAATTTTTAGCAAACTGAATTCAGACAAGTATTAAAATAATAGTACCCCATCATCTAATGGTATTTATTCTAAGAATGTAAACATATCTCTGATAGAATTCTTTACATTAATAAGCCACAGAAGATAAAATACAGTATACTAGAAATCCAGGATGCTTCCTAAATCTGATAAAGAATACCTATCCTCAGACAAATAGCCAGATTCATATTTAGTGGTAAAAGGCATCATTTAAAACAGGAACAAGAAAGCTCAATAGTCCTACTGTTTTAAAATATTGTTCTAGACATTTCAGATTATGTTATAAAACAAAAATGGAAATAAAAGATATACATATTGAAAAAGAAGAGGCAAAATTACTACTCCCCCCCTCCATGGATTGTCTGTCAATAAAATCCAAGGTAATCACTGTAAAATGTATGGAAATCAATAGCAGAATTTAGTAAGGTAGCCAATTAAAATATAAACATAGAAATCATGTGTTTTCTCCTATATTCTACTATAATGGGAAAGCAAACACATTCACAATAGCAACCAAAATAAAAATTTAAGGAATAATTGTAAGACATGAAGTGGACCTGATTAGGGGAGGAGGGCAGTCTCTGAAACTTTAATGGATGATAGAAAATACTGGAATAAATGCATAAACATAACATGTTCATTACGAGAAATTCTCAAGACTTAAGTTATTTTATAATTAATATGCAACTTTACTATAATTCCAATTAAAATCCTGAATTCAACATAAATCTTTGGAAAGGCCAACAAAATAGATAAACCACTGGGGGGTAAGTCTAATTAAAAAAAAAAAAAAAAAAGAAGGAAAAGAAAATATACAGGAGATAAGGATGCTTTGCTACAGAATATCAATTACCAAAATTGACTCTACAAGAATGAACATGGGGCGAGGGGACAGGAAACTTGGAAAGGGTAAATAGAAAAGGAGGAACCTGATCTATCTAATTTTAAAACACATTATAAAGCTACATAAAGTAAAGTGGTGTAGTGTACTGCACAGGAATTGACAGAGAGAAATCATAAAACAAAATATAAAGCTCAGAAGCAGACCAAAGTATCTAAAAACTTAGTATTATTAGTAAAGGTGAAATTTCAAATAAGGGAAAAATAAGGATTATTCAATAAATTCTGAGGGGGCAATTGGCTCCTTATTAAACAAACAAAAACAGTTTTCAAAAAGTGCTAAAAGAAAATATAGGTTAAATAGACACGTTTAGGATGAGGCAGACTATTCTAAAATGATAGTGTAATGAGGCAGTAAGTCACCCAAATGGAAGTGTATAGTAGGCAGTGATTGTGATATCAGGGTCTGAAGAGGAGAGTGCAGGGTTGGAGGAAGTAGATCTTGATTGTTACTGAAGTCATGGGATTGGGCTGCAATGATGGAGAGTACGGGGCGGGGGGGAAGAATGGACAGATACACGGCGAATGTGAATAGATGTTCTATCTGGATGGTGGGATTATGATCTCAAATTTATTTACTTAACAAATTACTTGATTATAATTATAATAAAACATATCTCAACCTGAAAGAAATATGGAAACTGATTAAGCTATCCTTTTATCTTTTCCCCCAAACTACTCTTCTTTTGTATTTTCTATCTCTATTAATCCATATTTTTAAGGATGAGACAATGGACGCTGGATAGAGGTTAAATAATTTGCTCAAGATCACGCTGCAAATAGTTGGCTGATCTGCAATTCAAACCAATGTCTACCTAACTCCATGGTTCATGTTCTTTCTTTGCTGCCTCAAATAAGAGTTTTCTTACTCCAAAAAATGGCTCCAAGTATAAAAGGTAAGCAGATGATATGTAAAACTTATGAAAAAGCTTATGAAACAATGTATTGTTAAGTGATTTGGGGTCATCATTTTAATTAACCATGTTAAAAAAGTCTTTATAGAGGTCATGTGATCCTGAGATTAAGAATTTGAAGAACCTGGGATCAAATAGCAACTGTATGACTATGTTTGACTAAGGTGTGCCTGCCCCAAGCCATGGTATTTTCAGTTGCCTCATATGCATGCTGAAGCTGGACAATGAATAAGGAAGACTGAAGAAGAATTGACAACTTTGAACTGTGGTGCTGGCGAAGAATACTGAATATACCGTGGACTGCCAAAAGAATGAACAAATCTATCTTGAAAGAAGTACAACCAGAATACTTCTTAGAAGAATGGCGAGATTTCATCTCATATACCTTGGGCATGTTATCAGGAAGGATCAGTCCCTGGAGAAGGACATCATGCTTAGTAGAGGGTCAGCAAAAAAGAGGAAGACCCTCAATGAGATGGATTGATATAGTGGCTGCAACAATGGGCTTAAGCACAACAACGATTTTGAGGATGGCGCAGGACCGGCAGTGTTTCATTCTGTTATACATAGGGTCATTATGAGTCCGAACTGACTCGACGGCACCTAACAACAACGTGACTATGTATAAATTATTTAACTTTTCTGAGCTGATTTCCTTACCAGTAAAATGGGAAAATGATACCACCTGTCTCACAGGATTACTACAAAGATTAAAATGAGAAGTTACAGAGAGTTGCTTTTATTAATTATAAAGTGCTTCATTGGTGCTCACAATTTTAGAAAAAAATACAAAAATATGAAATATTTATCTATGAGATCTGAAATCTATTTTAAATTGCTATGGACCTTGTTCTTGACTACATAACATACACAGTTGGGAAAAGGATGCTAAGGGCTATGTTTCATGAATTTAATGATTACAAGGTTTCTGAACCCCTCTGGTGAGATGAAGAGGCTGTACTGCACATGCATGTACATCGTTTTAGTCTGGCTGTGTTTTCTACTTGCTGCATTTTAAAATTCTTTTATTGCTTTGTTTCTATAATCTTTTATAAACTAGATATATATATATAAACTGTGGCACTAATACTTTAATTAGTACATTAATTTTTTTTCCTAAGAAAACTCACTGATAGGCCACTAGGGCTCCAATGTGGCTGCCAAACATTATTAAATATGGTAAATTCCTAAAACATTAGAAGTTTTGCTTTATGAAAAAAATATAAAAAATTAAATACATTCAAGATAAAAACACTTTTTCAGGCAAATTATCTTAAGCTGCATTTAAAAAGCAAAAAAGGAGATGAAGGTAATTCAGCATAGCAAAATCTTAAATGTTGAAATTTATTACAAAGGTGGAGTGATAACTACTATTAATTAATATACAACTGTCACCACAGCCATTGTACTGGCAACTTGAATATTAAAAAAAAAACTAGGTTCTTTTAAATAAGTGATTATTCAGTTGAAGTTTTTCCTCTGTATTATTATTGTGGTATACTAATTCTAGAGATTAATCTGGTTTGTATTTACATTCAAGCCTCTGGGTTGTCTGAATTTCTAATACTAAAAATTCTCTTAAAAAAAAAAACCTAACTCAAGTGCAAAGTTATTGTTTCTGTATTCCCATATTTGTCAGAGTAGTACCTTCACTTATATGACTATTTGATTAATGAATAACTGGCACACAAATAGGCATACAATAATTATTTGGTGAATGATTACATGAGAATAACTGTTAATGTTAATATAAATAACTGTAAATGTTAATGTACTAGTTTCAGATTATTTGCCTTGACCTTCTAAAAGAACAGTAATTCAAATCCCCTACTTCCATTATTGGAAACCCTGGTGGCGTACTGGTTAAGAGCTACAACTGTTATTCAAAAGACTGGTACTTCGAATCCACCAGGTGCTCCTTGGAGACCCTAAGGGGCAGTTCTACTCTGCCCTATAGGGTTGCTAGAAGTTGGAATTGACTCAATGGCAGCAGGTTTGGTTTTTTTTTTTTGGTTTATTTCCATTATTTGGTGCCCTGGTGGTGTAGTGGTTAAGTGCTCAGCTGCTAACCAAAAGGGTCAGCAGTTCAAATCCACCAGCCACTCCTTGGAAATCCTATGGGGCAGTTCTACTCTGTCCTATAGGGTCGCTAGGAGTCAGAACTGACTCGAGGGCATCTAACAACATTTCCATTATTTATGTTCACATTAGCTTTGAAATGGATAAAGGAAAGTTCTGTTGAAGAAAGATCAATGCTCAGTCAGTAATTCAACAAATATTTAGTGAGCATGTTACCAATCATCAGGCTCTTGCTGTATGTTCACAAGGAAATATTTTAAAACAACATGCTGCGTATACAAGTATTAAGGAAGAACACCCTGACCCAGACTAGGGATTCAGAGAAAATATCACAGTAGAGGTAACATTTAAGCCAAATCTTAAAGAACAAATAAGAATATGGCAGATGTACAAATGGAGAAAGACATTCCAAGCAAAGGGAAAAACTTCTACAAAGGCATAAAGTGTGAAAACAAATGCTCTGTTTGGGAAACATACACAAAAATTTTGGAAACACTAATTAATGCCACAGGGAGTCAAGATAAAGATAGGAAAATACCTGATGAATCTCACAATTAAATGTTATTAAATCTGTCTGTGTGCCAATTCTGGCAAATATATGTAAACAGAAATATATTTGTTTACATATTGTCTCTCTAATGTGGCTTCAAGTCAGTTTGGAAATGTGAACTCTAAAACATAGTCTATACTATATAATTAGTATGATATTTTGAAGGATAGGAGATTTGGATAGGAAAAATTTAACAAGGAAAACTTTTCAGATTGATAGTCAAAATAGAATATATGCTTTTTCTTTTATCAAGGAGAAAATTCATTTTTAAGTTGTGGGTTATAAAGTACTTTACGTCCTTTATTTAAAAGGTGAAAAAAATTAAATCTTTGTGTTAAGCTGAAACTATGTCTGCTACATAGAATTTAAATACCACCTTTTAAAAAGCTTTTAATTTAATTTAAAAAGAAAGAAAAGACTCACCTTCCTCTGGTAAATAGCAATCCAATCTGTTGTGGCGAACCACTTGTGAGTTTTTATATCACTCACACCATTCTTTAGATTGCCAAACCGCTTAGTTAAATCCACCTGGAGCAGGTTCCTTAGAAGGTCCTTGAGATCTGAACTGAAGTGGGATGGGAATCGGACCTGCACAAACACAAACACATCATGTGGTGAAGCACACATTCCAAGACTCATCTTGTGATATTTCTGTTTTGATTTCCGAAGGTTTTTTTTTGTTTTTAAGGTAAATGGGTCATTACATAAACAAAAAACATGTAGTGATGACTTTCAAATGCTATTAACTATATCCTATAGTCCCCATAGTAGTCTTAAAGAAGAAAATTATTTGGGAGAATGAACTAAAACTGTTTTGGCCAGGAACCCCCTTTATGAACCTGGACCCCTCTCCAGAAAAATGTGCATACAGACAACTTTTCCTACAATGTCAGAAGGTCCAGCCATCTTCTAGAGGGCACCTTTGGGCCCCACATCACAAACCTCCATTTTAGAGATATTTGAGTCAACTTGTAATTTTAAATAGAACAAGCAGCATGTGAAAGACATCAGTATGCACATTTTAAAAAGCGATCTATCAAAGAGGAAGTCTAAAAATGATTGTGAAAACCCACAGTGCTTCTCACAGCATAGAAAACTGTTTTTCATTTATCAGTGGATGACTTTTAAACAGAATTCTGCTATTATGCAACAGTATAAAAATTATTTAAATTGGTTTAAAAGTGTTTTTCCACCTCCGAAGTTGTGAGTCATGGGGAATCGATTCTATGGCAGTGGGTTTGGGTTTTTTTTGGTTTAAGTTATGAAGACTTTATAATTAGTTGGCTGGCCTCCTGCCTTAAAAACAATAAAAAGCCCATATAACTTAAGACGTTAATGTTAGGCAACCAATAAAATTAAAGTACTATTCATAAGAGACCTAAGTCATTTTTTTTTATTGTTAGTTTTTATTTTACTTTGTTGAAACACATGCTTCTCTACTCAAACCTAACTTCCAGATCCTACCCTTTTATTAGTACGTGTACTGAAAAATTAACATGGGCATTACTAAGGGATGAGATCAGAAGGAATAACTGCATTAACATCTTTCGTATTCTCTTTCATTACTACCACCTCTCCAGTAACCCTTTTAATTTGTGCTCAACCATCTCCCATTTTATAGGCGAAACAATTGAGAAAAAGATTAAGTAACTTGCCCAAGATTACAAAGCTAGTAAGTGGTAGGTAGTGCCCATAATTCCAAAGCAGCTATTCTGAAATAAGTATACATTTTTAATTATTCTATATGTCTTTCATGATTCAGTAACTTGAGTATAGTCATTATCAGGAAGCTTCTAAATAAATTTTCTCATGTTAAAAATATTTTGCTGCACCTTTCCTCACTGATTCTAGGTAGGGCACTATTATACTAGAGATTAACAGGTATTCAAAAGGCACACTGTCTACTTTAAAAACAATATGACATTTTTTCCAGTGGTTATATTCTAACTTGTTTAGATTCCAAAGAAATAACTGGTTCGAAGTACATCTATCTTTGTTTAGAATAGAGCTGAATGAACTGTTCAATGTAATGTGCCAGTTAGTCTCCCCTTTATGATGTTTAGAATGGTAGACAGTAATGTTCTATGTATAAGTTATCTTCTGAATTCAGGTTATTTATTTTGGAATGCAAATAAAGTGAAGGTCTTGAATTAGTGTGTTGTGTGTGTTTAATCTTCATAACAGTGATTCTCAAAATCCTTCCTTCCTTCCTTGGAGGAGAGGGGCTGTGTTGTGATGGTAGGTATCAGAATCATTTGGGAATTTTTCAAATTATAGATATATCCTCCTCATCTTCACATCACATCCTTTTCTTGCCCAGAGATGCTGATAGGTAGCCCACACTCTCATAGTGAGCCATGTTAATGGTAGGATTCTGTCATATCCTTCAAGTATACTGGGGGAGATAAAATCAGAACCACTGTAGAAGTATTTTTTCCACACTTATTCTGAAATGTAATCTGAAATGTAGTTTCTTGGTTGATAGAACTTTCTAAGCAGCTGCTGATTTAGCAAAACTGGAGTTAAAAAAAATAAATAAAATTATGTTTTAAATGTAAGACCTTTATTTATATTAACCTGGAGACACCAACTATTTCTATAAAGGCAAAAGTGACTATCTAATTTTTCCTTCTAAATGGTATCAAGAAGGATATTATTTTTATCATTATCAATCATAACTGCTATAATAAATGAAACCAGAATCCTAGAATATTGAAGCTAGAGGGACCATAGTTTAATTTAGTCCAAACCTTCATTTTAAAGATAAGGAACCTTAGCCTCAGTGAGGCTATCAACTCAGAAGTATATTCTTGGGACAATAACTTAAGCCTCCTGACTTCTACATCTGTGTGCTGCCTGCCAGGCCATGATAGAGCAAATAACATAAAAGTAGCTGTAAGGAGCCACATATGAAAAAGAGAGTCTAAGCTCACTAAATCATTAGGTCTGAGAGATTAGGTCATTGGAAACTGGCACTATTTAACATAGAAGAGGTGTTTGTACAAAATGGAAGGGGTGATTGTACAACATATACTGCCTAGAGTGTTGTCTTTTTTCCTTAGTATTATTTCCAGTTAGGCTTCTTTTACAACTGTTAGAAACCAAGCTACTTCTGAGTTTCCTAATGATATATTCTTGAGATTCTGGCTGTGAGTAAATCTATTTCAGTGTATAGGATACACAGAACTAGTTCTCAATCCATGTAGTACACCAGAATCTTCTGTGGTAATTTAAAAAATACTGATGTTTGGATCCACAGAAGACTAATTGAATCAGTATCTTTGATGGTGTAACACCCAAAGGTGGAGTCTACTTCAAGAAAGCTTCACAGAGTCAGGAACTACAATCAGTTTGCTGTATACAGCACACACAACTGGTCTGGCATACGTAGAAGATAATAAACATTTAATGAATACATGAATTCAAATAAAACAAATACTGAATGAACACCTAGTAGATGCCAGGTACTGAGGTGCTTGGGATAAACAAAACAAGACAAAGATTTCTGCCTTCATGGAGTTTCCATTCTAGTAGGGGAGACAGATGATAAATAATAACAACTAGAGCGACCCTTTAAAAATGTTAAGCCATCCCATCACTTTTCACAAAACCTTGCAGGGTAAGGTCTTTGATTTTTTACTCTGAAGAAAATGGGGACCCATTACAAGGTTTTGAAAGGAGTAGCAGGATCTGATTTAAAATTTTTAGAGAATCACTCTAGAGACTCAGTGGTAGCAGTGGAGGTGCTAAGAAGTGGTTGAATTCTGTATATATTCTAAAAGTAGAACCAAGTGTTTTTTTCTTTGCACTGGATATGGGGTGAGGACTCCAAAGTGTTTTGGCCTGAACACTTGGAAGGAAGAATATGTCAACAACTGTGATAGGGAAGGCTATGAGAGGAATAGATTTGCTAGGGGGAATAGAGATCATCAGGAGTTCCATTTTAGACAGGTTCAATTTGAGGAAGAATTTGGATGTTGGACACAAGAACTTGGAATTCAGGAGTCAAGTATGGGCTAGAAAAATGAACTTGGGAATTGTCAGGATACAGCTGTCATTTAAAGCCATGAGACTGAATGAGACGCCCAAGGAAGGGAGTGTAGAGAAAGAAGAGAAAAGGACCAAGCTAAGGAGATTAAGAAGGAAAAACCAGTAATGCTAAGAATGTGAGGAGTTACTGAAGCTGAGTGAAGGAATAATGAATGGACCATTGAACTACCTTTTATCTTTGGGCAATTCTGGGCCTTTATTTACCTACACATAGAAGATAATGGACATTCCTTGCCATCTCAAAAATTCTACCAAGCTATTTATTTCCTTAGTAGAAAGAACACTTGGGTTCCACTTCCAATTCCAGTTACGTACACGCTCTGTGATCTACGTCAAACACCTTTACCTTTCTAAGTTTCAGTTTCCTCATTGATAAAATGATGGCAGGTATTGAAAAGAAGTTACGTAACTTTTATGAAATTGCCTTGCACCATGCCTAGTATCTTGTGGGTACTAATACAATGTATTTTTTTTCTCCTTCCCATTAGAATATTGTCATGATCTGAAGCTGAATCTTTGAATCAAAGAGGGATCTTAAAAGCCAGTAATATCTATCCTGAAGTTTCCAAACTACCTAAGGACAGTCTATGCTAGAAAAATCATTTTAAGAGTGAGAGAGTTCCTCTTTTCTTCTTGTCTCATGCTCCACTTGTTAATTTATGAACAAATTCTTCTTAAGGTATTTACACAAATTTGTTAAGCGTGAGACAGGCTATCACCCTGGTTTACAAGGACATCATTCTGAATATAGCTGATATCCTACTTTGTAAAATTACATTATGTTATATGCTAAACAAACCATTTATGAAAATCATTCTGAACTGAGCAAACTCAAAAGAATATTAGTTCCGCTTTCAATAGCAGATTGTAAAGTCTTGTGCATTTTGGTTTTAGGAACGGCTATTGTTCTCTAAAAATTTAAGAGGAAGTTACAGCCAACTAGCAACTTAGTTCATGTTGTCATGGTATCCATACTGGGTGATTTAAATTCACTAGCTGGTTTATTGACACTTTTTTCTGTGAGCTTATCACAGAAATTACAAAGTAGATCTTTGACTGAAAAAAGAATAGAAAAATATTACTGTTATTTTCCTGCAATTGGCAGGGGAGGGAATTGCTTAACCAGCGACATTCTTTTATGTATTGGGATAAAATTTACTGGACTTAAATGATTAAAAAGAGTTTGCACACAGCCAATAAAAAATAATCTACTAACTTCAGACCACAAGCATGTTGGAATAAATTTTAAGAAACTATCTAAATTAGGTACTGTAAGTTCTAAAAATTTGGAATTCTACTATTTATCTAGCAAAAATGAACATATATTAGTTGATTTTTCAAAAGGCATAACAATTTTTCATACATTATGCTTTCTATAGATATGGTGCCAAGCTCCAAGCTGCCTCAGAGCAGCTTTAATCAACCTGGATCCTATATATAAAAGAAAGAGCTAGGTCATTTGGGGCCCTGGTGGTGCAGTGGATAAGAGCTTGGCTGCTAACCAAAGGGATGCCAGTTCAAATCCATCAGCTGCTCCCTGGAAACCCTATTGAGGGGGCACTTCTACTCTATCCTATAGGGTCGCTATGAGTCAGAATGGACTTGACGGCAATGGGCTTAGGTCACGTTAAAAATACTTGTAAATACTGGTACCATACCTGTGGGCTCTCTAATCTGTTCTCTTACCTATGAAGAGATAATAGCAGATATAACAAATCCAGAGGGTTATTACCCACACCAACCTCACTACCCTCTACTCTGTTACCGCACCCACTTCCAAAGTAAGGACCCAGTATTACAATCATTTGCCCATAGGACTACTAGAATAAAGAGCTGTCTCAAAGCAGGTATTAATGAAAATTTTAAATGACCACAGCAAGATGTTAAAAACATGGGTCTGGGTGTTTTGCAAATAGTAGAACTGCTTTTATATTTCATGAAAATGACTTCTGAGTACACCTTGGTCTCTTTATACCAAAAAAAACAGAAATCAAACCCATTGCTGTTGAGTCGATTCTGACTCAGTCTTTACCTATAGCCAAAGTCAAACAGAAAATGGCATTTTAATTTCCCAAAAAGCATGAACAAAGGCATCTTAAAAAGTGTAGTGGTATATCTGCATATGTGTATGTTATTTAGAAAGTAGAAGGTGGAAGAAGAGTTAATGTGACAGGCCTGAGACTGCTATCCTTAGAAAGGTCTCCATGCAAGGTTGGTCCTTGCTGGTGACTAGGAACCTGAATGGTAAACACTGATATAAAACTATCCCTAAATGGTAAGACTGTCCCACTGTGCCTAGACAGTACAGACAATATGGCTTATGCAGAACATCTGCTTCCTTTTGGGGATCTGAGATTTTGATATATGTGCTAGGCAGAGGGTTCATATGTGACCAGCCCCCAATAAAAACCTTGGGCACTGAGTCTCTAATGAACTTCCTGGGTAGACAATATTTCACACGTGTTGTCGTAATTCGTTGCTACAGGAATTAAGTTTGTCCTGTGTGATTCTACTGAAAGAGGACTCTTGGAAGCTTGTACCCGGTTTTCTCAAGATTTCACCCCATGCACTTTTCCTTTGCTGATTTTGCTTTGTATCCTTTCACTGTAATGAATTTTAGCTGTGTGTACGGCCATATGTTGAGTTCTGCGAGTCCTACTAGTAAATCGCTAAGTCTGAGGATGGTCAGCAAACCTCAGCATGGAACAGAATAGCCATTTGGCTGCTAATCAATTACCCTTCCATGTTTATCGAGGGAAAAATTACATGACTTTTTGATCATTCACTGTAAACCTATGTTTACAACCCTGTTTTTTTTAGTGTCTCCTTGTATATTGTTGGTGCCCATGGTTATGGTTCCCACAACAGCTATCACTTGGCTGCTTTATTTGCAAGTATCATTTTTGAACACGATATTAACTTTTATATTTCCATGGGTAATGCAGCCAGATAGAGTTGCTGTAGAAACCATAACTGATTCTTGTCATAGAGTATATGGCACCGAGGCTTGAAATTTAAAGACTATATACAGAAACTCAGCATATGTATTACCAGGATAAGGCATAGTTAATGTGGGAATTTTAAGACTATTCTGTCAACTATGCATTTCTAAACCTGAACCTTAATATTGCATGAATAATTTGACATTTAAATACCACCTCCTCTGTTTTTTTAAAAGCAAAATATGTGTAGGAGAGAATCTAACAAGCTGATTGATCATCTTTTTTGTGCACTTAAAAATACCATTTTGAGTTAAAATATTGTAATAGAGAAAGTATTTAATAACCTAATATTCAAATATATGTACATCAGTGAATTAATCACTGATTAAATACATGTTAAATGCAATAAGTCATTGATATCTATAATTTCATAGCATGGTTTCAGAATGGAAAATATAATCAACAAAAATGTTATTACATAAAATAATGAGCTTCTTTAAAAAACAAAATCACAAAAATATTTCTGAATTAAAATTATATTCTTAAATGCAAATACAGGATCCATAAATATAAGACCAAAAATTAGATTTTTAATAATCAAATAATTATTAAAAAATAATTATTTTGTAATTAAAAACTAGTTAGCCTTCAATTTGGCTTTTACCTACTAACCAGAGAAACTATGATATTTTTGTAATGTGGACAAAGATACATTCTGGTTTAGATTTAGGTGTTGGAACAGATGGTTTTACTGGAAAATGGCAAATATGATTTTTTCTTCGTGTAATGCAGATCCTAGCGATCACTTATTGGCAATATTCTACTTTCATGGAAAGTACTTCCTGCTTTAGATGAGTAAAGGGAGAATGGGATGGATTTAGCCCTTTATCCAGTATGGGGAAAGATAAGTTCTCACATTTAATTAAAAACAAAAGTACACCAAATACCCTATCATATTTCTAAACAAAGGAAGAGAAAAAATCAGATATTTTGACATGATAAAATTTTATGCTGCTACTCTCCTCTCTAAGGTGATTAGGGTTAAAGCTGTTAAGATTTTAGAACATACGCAGGTTTCAGTTGTAAGCTTTTATTAGATGTAAAAGTTTGGTATGAAATAAAAGCATATTCATAAAACATTACCTGAAAAAAAATTAACCGATGTGGAACAACTGGCAATTTGAGGCCAATTCAGACAGATGAAAATACATTCACTTTAAGGCAATTTTTATTAAGTAAATGAAAATTTAGTTATGACAGTATCCTTGTCAAGAAATTTGATTTATTTTATGAAGGAGTATAAATAAAAGCAATACAGTAAAGATTCAAGAACTTCATAATTACCCTTCATTAAATTATTTGGAACTATTACTAAAATTTCTGAATTCTTAGTTTTTATATTAATAAAATACTATTCTCCCAGTCGGTTATTTTAATGTATTTTAGTTCCTCATTGTTCATATGATCTTTGGCTGTTATTCTCTCTTGAGATTTTACATGTTCACTTCTGAAATTCTTAAAAAATAAATCACTGCCTTGTTTATTAATTTTTTTCCATGTTTTGTTTCATTCATCTCAAAAGTTCTTTTACTGTGACTGTTTGAATATGCTAGGGGAAAACAGATAAGAAATCTGAAGCCTAGAGATCTACAAGTATAATAAGAACAGCAGTGATATTTAGTTACTTAAAATAAATACTGCATTCTGCCTTCCTCTATTACCTTTGTCAGTATAAATCTTTCAATACCTAGCTTAGTTTACTTATCTGAGAGAGGTGTATATTTTTTTTACCTTCAACATAGTTGAGGTATATGTTCTTTAGTTATTCTTCGGATTTGTGAATATAGCCATAACATAAAGCTTTCCCCATAGAATGCAGTAAAATATAGCTGAAAATCTTGTGATCCCTGTAAATTGCATATGCACGATGAAATATGGAACAATACTATATTAAGATGTGGATTATAGGTGGTTGGAAAGACTCATCCTATTCATAAGTGTCTTGTTCTTACAGTCCAGCTGTGCAGCATCCATGATTTAAATTTGTTTCTTGGCAAAAAAGATAAATTACTACATTATGGACATTCAGGGTACCTTGTGAGTAGTTAACATTGTAAACTTTAAGTTCATAAATGCCGAGGGTCAGCTTTTACACTAAATATAGAGATTGAATCTGGCTGAGATACAAAGAAATAGAGACTTTCTGTCTTCCAGATTCCTTAGGATGATTAGACTTATCTATCTATACCTAAGAAGGCCAAAAAGTACAAAGAAGTCAACTATATCCCATCTCAGGGCAATATGATGTCAGGATTGATACTCTATTTCCTGCTCATATTCTAAATGGGGCTGTGTGGTCTAGAAAAAAAAGAGAGAGAGAGAGGGAAAACAAAATAATAGAGCTTACCACATGTAGGAAGAAGGGAAATTATGGAAAATATACCTTCCCATATACTCTATCATAAATGTTAAGAAGGTCTACTTTTGGGGATGTTTAAAAGCTTATTCTTTCTTTGCTATATGTGGGAAGAATCAGGCTCATCTCTACAAAAACTGATTGTGGTATTTTTAAAGAGATCTTTTGAGATATGAGCTAAGGAAAAAGAAAATGAAAGACCCTAAACAAAAGACTTTTGGAACCAAAATAGGGATTATAAATGCAAAAGAAGAGAAGTTTATGGAGTAATTACATAATGTAAAGTGTTCATACTTATACTATGATTATAGTAAATCTCATATTTAAGAAAAATTAATGTTATTTCAATATTTGCTTAAAATCTATGGCAATTATAATCACAATCAACAAATAATTCTGTTAAAGTAACTTCCATGTATTTCCATCTTAAAAAGGCTTATCCATTTTATATTTACTTTCAACTTTGTGGTGTTTAACATAATTCAAACAAGAAGTCTCTTCTGGAAAAGCAAGGGCATATAAAAACAGCCCCTAAAACTCCTCTCAAAGGTGATATCTACATGAAATAACTAATAATAAATACTGGAAATTAGGGCTATGATCCTATGTTTTATAAGGGATAAAGATACTAGAAATGAAAAATACTCTATTATTTTCCTGATTTGTTTATACAATTGCCCTTTGTTCTTTAAGGGACTTCAATGATTCAATATTTATGCTGCTATAGTAAATGAATGCTAGATACAAGAGAAGCAACTATGGGTATTTCTATATTTTTCCCAATTTAAGATAACAGTGTGATGATACGGTTTCAATCTACAAAGCTTAAAATTCATATACAGAAATAATGAATAACAATACATATGACTTACCTTTCCAGAAACAATCTTTTCATAAATCTGAATTGGCTGGTCTGCAAAGAATGGGGGGTAGCCAGCTGCCATTTCATAGATTAACACGCCTAATGCCCACCAATCCACTGCCTTATTGTAGCCCTGAGAGAAACCAACACCAAATATCAATTATTACTTAATTTACTAAGAAGAAAATGAAGTCATAGATGATTTCAAAATACTTTTCAGGCATACGAAATTTTTTAAAAAGCAGTTGCTGAGCAGCTATTCAGGATAGATAAAAAATGAACAAACTGTATAAGGTCAGGTATAAATTAAACAAACAGGAGAATTTCTGTATACTGGAAACGGCTGTTAGGAAAGATTATTAAGTCTTCTTCCTACATTCATTAAGAGTATTATAGATATCTATTTCTTTGCGATAAGTTCGTTGTTGCTCAATAGTAGGAAGGGAGTTGGACCAAATTACCTCTTAAGGCCCATTCCAGATTCGTAATCTTACAAATCACATTTTCTACATACCCTAGGAAGGTCAAAGGCTTTGAACCAAATAGTAGATGTGAGACTTCATAGTCAGTAGTGGAGCTGACTTCAAAATACTCAGTAGTGTTTCAGGTATGAGGGTGAATGTACTCAAGATAATTCTGCCCGCTTCACAGAATCTTGGGAAAGTTAGAAGTATAATGTAGAACCCAATAAACTTACATATTTAAAGTACGTTTTATTTTAGCTAGCTCCCTTTTTGCTTCTCATCTCTAAAAGATACACAGGAAAGATAACTAATTCATAGGGTTTTGTGAGGGTTATATCAGATGAAAGAAAATAATGGGTATAAAAAGTGCTTTGCAAAGCAAATATACAATTTAAATGTTATTTTTAATTGGTTTTGCTGTTTTGTATAAGCTTACAAAATTAACACCTAGAAGTATTTAATAAGAAAATAAATAAGAATAAAATAGTAATGTATGTTTACATAAAGTTTATTGTCAACTATGATCAGTGTCAGAAGGAGCCATGGTGGTGCAGTGATTAAGCGTTCAGCTGCTAATAGGTCAGAGATTTGAAACCACCAGCTGCTCCACGAGAGAAAGATGTGGTAGTCTGCTTCTGTAAAGATTACAGCCTTGGAAACCCTATGGGGCAGTTCTACTCTGTCCTATAGGGTCGCTATGAGTCAGAATCGACTCAGCGGCAGTGGGTTTGGTTTTTTTGGTATGATCAGTGTCAATGGGCAGAAAAGATTATGGAAAAAACAAAAAAACCTCGATCATGTAGAGAGAAATGAGCTGAGTTCTCAGATCTTTTGTTTTACCCTCGAATGTACCCTCTAATTACCATCAGCACTCCCCCTGTCCCAACCTTTTGTCAAAATTTTAGCTTTACAAACTATTTAGTTTTCAAACTCATAGCTAAAATACAATACTATAATATAGAGGTTTTCTTTTTCTTTTTTTCCTGTTTATTTTTTTTAAAGGGAGGGATTGGTATAATAGGAAAAGTACTTTTTTTTTGTTAACAGAAATGGGTGCCAACTTTGCTTTATCTCTTTTCATTCAAAACTCACTGGTAATGTAATTTATTAACAATAATTTTTACTGTAATGGAAACATGTAATGTTGAACCAGACCCTTAAAACTAAACTTTGATTTCTATGTGTTAGATTATGTGCTAGGTTTAATATAATAAATATTTCAGATGCAAGTCAATACCCTAGATATATAAAATTAAGACAAATCAATAAAAAACAATAAATTACAATATATACATGGGCAAAGGGAATGAATTAACAATTCACACATATAACAAAGAAATACAAATGACTACTAAGCATTTAAAAAATCTAATAAAGAAATGAGAATTAAAACAGTGAGATAGCTATCATTTTCTGCCTATGAGTAGATTTTTAAAAGGAGACTACCCAATGCTGAAGAGGGTGTGGTAGAACAGGCACTCATACAGTGCTGGTAGGAGTGCCAAATGGTACAGTCTTTTTGGAAAGCAATTTGGCAATAGTATCAAGAGCCTTAAAAATATTCATACCCTTTGACTTAGTAATTCCACTTCTGGGAATCTATCCTAAGGAAATAATTTGAAATACAGAAAGATGTTTATCACAGTATTTGTAATAGTAAAAAAGGAAACAACAATAGAAAAATTGTCAAATACTTTATAGTACATTTGCACAAGCCATTAGAATGACGTTTGCTTGCTTGTTATCATTCAAGTGAAAAGAGCATGCCACAAAACTGTACATTCACTCTGATCTCAACTGTGATAACATGCATAGAAAAATTAAAAGCAAAATGTATAAAAGTGCTAAAAAAAGTTGCCTCTGGGTGGTAGGATTACAGATTTTTTTGGTTGTTTCTTTATATTCTGTATTATCCAAATTGTGTACAATGCATGTCTATCACTTTTATAATATAAATGCAGTTTTTAAAGTTTTGGTATTTATTTGTGGTCACATTATTTGTTAAGCATACTTAAAGAAGAAATGTGTTAACTGCAATGATATTAAGATTATAAAAACTAAAATGTTACATATGCTTTAAATTATGAAAGATAATGAGAGGAAAGCTGAAAAAAATCTTTTATTTCATTCTAACACTTGTATAAACAAAAAAAAAAAACAAACTCATTGCCGTCGAGTCAATTCCAACTCATAGAGACCCTATAGGACAGAGTAGAACTGCCCCACAGGGTTGTATAGGTTAGCCAAATTTCAACTGGTCAGTGAGTACTTTACTCAGTCTGTTGTCTCTCTAAGCACATGTCTTATCCCTTACTCTTTCCTTGGTCCAACTTGTGTCCAGTTATTCTTAGTTTCTCCTTTCTGGTTTTCACCACCAACGAATAGCAGAGGAAAGGAAAATGGATAGACATCAAACCATCCTTTTAGATATTACAGTTTCTCTAAGCACATTTCACAGTTTGGAAAAGTATAACTGCCTTCAGTAAGAGAAACTATTCTATTGTTGTAATTCCCATCAGACCAACTTAAAAAAAAAAGCAATATATTTCCTTCATTTAAGTGGTAAAAGTGAGACAAAGGAAGAATTGATATGTATTGTCTCTTGATTTGCCTTTTGGCATAAGTCACAGCAAGGCTTCCCTGCCTTCCCCTTTTTGGAAATAATTATGAGAAGGCTATGCTTTTGGTATGGACCTAGAGGTCAGATTTATTCACACTCTCGAAGATTCAGAGTTATAACTGACAGAGGTTATGGGATTAATGGTAGACTATAAATAATCATTCTACAGTAATCATGAACAAATACATTTAAATTTATAACTTAGATTAAATAAAAAATACAAAATTAGGTCAATAAACAGTTTTTACAAAAGTTCACAGTGATGCATGCCTTATATTTCTAATTCTTACATAATGCCATTATAAATATACCTTGCTGAGGATTATTTCCGGAGCCAAATATTCTGGAGTACCACATAATGTCCAAGTTCTCCCTTTAACTCTTTTGGCAAACCCAAAATCTGTGACCTATAAAAGAAAAAAAGTACTGTGAACATTTATTGTTTCAATTTTGGTACTTACACTGAAAATTAAAAATTCAGGGTTAAAATTCAAACCATTAAAAAAAAAAGTGGACAAAACTAAGTCAATGTAATTAAAACTAATACATGAAGCCACTATTTAGTGAATGAAGGCTAAAACGACCCAAGCTGGCGGCCTCTTCCTCCACCGAAAACAAACAAATGAACAAAAAAAACCCTTCTTCAGTCATTATCATAAGATCCCAGATCCAAGGAATAAAAAAGTGAAAACAAAACGTAAAACTAGTTTTAATAAAAAATGTAAGAATTGACCACAGTGCTAGAAGTGTTCTTTAAGTTCAGCATGTCCTCTGTCATTAACTCCACCATCAAAAGTGCAAAAGCACCAAGGGGAAAATCTATTGATAACTGTGTAAAAAGGGATGCTTCTACTCCACTAATAACAGAAACGGAAAGAATACATTGCCACCAGTTCAATATTGGTATTTGGGGCTCGTTTGGCAGCTGCATTGTAGTGGGAAAGAGCATGGATTCTGGGAACAGACAGGGTTCAAATTCTGACTCTATCATTTACTGGCTGTGTGATCTTGCTGTGCCTCAGTTTCCTTAGACTGAAAATGAGGATAACAACAGTACCTACACCTTATAGTGTTATCAGGATTAAGAGAATTAATACAGGTAGAACACTTGAACAATGTCTGGTACTAACGAGTGCTCACAAATCTAGCTATTGTTTCTTTTTGCAAGAGCCTGTGATTAGTTTACACATATAAATTATGGGAGATATAAAGAGGTTCCATCTTTGATAGGATTCATGGTTACTTTTAATTATGGCAGAACTATGAGTTCAACTTAAGCAATTAGGTAGAAGCAACTGTTTCCCTCGGAAAAAAAATTCAATATTGGCCAAAATAAAAAAAAACCATACCCACTGCCATCCAGTCTATTCCAGCTCACAAGGCTGTAAACGTCTATGGAAGCAGACTACTACATCTTTCTCAAAGAGCTGCTGGTGGTTTCCAACCACCGACCTTTTGGTTAGCAGTCCAGCACTTTAACCACTGTGCCACTAAGGCTCCTTTCAATATTGGTAGTTGGGGATAAATACATACAACTGCTTGCCTAGTATTTTCTAAAATATGTGTTCAAGTCATACCTGGATATAACCTTGATGGTCAATTAAGAGATTTTCAGGTTTTAGATCTCTGTAGATGAGGTCTAGGGAATGGAGGTACTCAAATGTTAGCACTATCTGAGCTGCATAGAACCGTGCATGGGGTTCACTGCAAAGAAACAAAACATTAATTTTCTGTAAAATGAGTAACATATAGTAACTAGTAGATTATAATATAAAAATTAACATAGGATAGAGATATTTTTGGAGCAAAAGTATTTTTTCTTTTAAACATATGCAAAGATTCTTATTAGTTCCAAATATTTTTACCAAATATTTAGTAAATCTCTCAATCATATTTAAATAATGCTCTGATACATTTAGGGGCAACATATGTTCAGCAAAAATATAATCCTAAAGTAGTCATCTTATTGTAAATTATTATTCCTCATTTGTTGTTTGTTGTTAGGTGCCATCGAGTCAGTTCTGACTCATAGCAACCCCATGCACAATAAAATGAAAGACTGCCCGGTCCTGCACCATCTTCATAATTGTTGCTATGTTTGAGCCCGTTGTTGCAGCTACTGTGTCAATCCACCTTGTTGAAGGTCATCCTCTCTTTTGCTGACCCTCTACTTTACCAGGCATGATGTCTTCCTCCAGGGACTGGTCCCTCCTGATAACATGGCCAAAGTAAGCTAGACGAAGTTTCACTACCTTCACTTCTAAGAAGCATTCTGGAAGTTCATAGTATACTCAACTTTCTTCATTCCCTTATTAGTTGTCCAGCTTTCACATGCATGTGAGGTGACTGAAAATACCATGGGTCAGGTGCACCATAGTCCTCAAGGTGGCATCTTTGCTTTTTACCACTTTAAATATGTCTTCTGCCGCAGATTTGCCCAATGCAATGCATCTTTTAATTTCTTGAAAGCTGCTTCCGTGGGGGCTAATTGTGGAACCAAGTAAAATCAAATCCTTGACAACTTCAAACTTTTCTCCGCTTATCAAGATGTTGCTTATTGGTCCAGTTGTGAGGATTTTTTATTTTATTATGTTAAGGTGTAATCCATACTGAAGGCTGTAGTCTTTGATTTTCATCAGTAAGTGCTTCAAGTCCTCTTCACTTTCAGCAAGCAAGGTAGTGTCATTTGCATAATGCAGGTTGTTAATGAGTCTTCCTCCAATCCTGATGTCACCTTCTTCTTCATATAGTCCAGCTTCTCGAATTATTTGCTCAGCATATAGACTGAATAAGTACGGTAAAAAGATACAACTCTGATGCACACTTTTCCTAATTTTAAACCACCAGTATCCCCTTGTTCCACTTGAATGACTGCCTCTTGGTCTATGTATAGGTTCCGCATGGGCACAATTATGTGTTCTAGAATTCCCATTCTTTGCAATGGTATCCATAATTTGTTATGATCCATACAGTCGAATGCCTTTGTGTAGTCAATAAAACACAGGTAAACATCTTTCTGGTATTCTCTGCTTTCAGCCAAGATCTATCTGACAACAGCAATGACATCCCTCATTACACATCCTCTTCTAAATCTGGCTTGAATTTCTGGCAATTCCCTGTCGATGCACTGCTGCAACTACTTCTGAATGATTTCCAGCAAAATTTTACTTGTGTATGATATTGTTCGATAATTTCTGCATTCTGCTGGATCATCTTTCTTTGAAATGGGCTCAAATATGGATCTCTTCCAATTGGTTGGCCAGGCAGCTATCTGCCAAATTTCTTGGTGTAGATGAGTGAGTGCTTCCAGCTCTGTATCCATTTGTTGAAACATCTCAATTGGTATGCTGTCAATTCCTGGAGCCTTGTTTTTCACCAGTGCCTTCAGTACAGCTTGGACTTCTTCCTTCTATACCATCAGTTCTTGATCATATGCTACCTCCTGAAATGGCTGAATGTCGATTAATTCTTTTTGGTTCAGTGACTCTGTGTATTCCTTCTGTCTTCTTTTGATGCTTCTTGTGTCGATTTTTTGCAATGGAATCCTTCAATATTGCAACTCAAGGCTTGAATATTTTTCTTCAGATTTTTTAGCTTGAGAAATGCTAAGCATGTTCTTCCCTTTTGGTTTTCTAACTCCAGTTCTTTGCATATTTTATTATAATACTTTGTCTTCTTGAGCTGCTCTTTGAAATCTTCTGTTCAGCTCTTTTACTTTATCATTTCTTCCTTTTCTTCAGCTAGCAGCATTGGTAGCCAGTGATTAAGAGCTTCACTACTAACCAAAAGGTTGGCAGTTCAAATTCACCAACCGCTCCTTGGAAACTCTATGGGGCAGTTCTACTCTATCCTATAGGGTCACTATGAGTCAGAACTGACTTGATGGCAACAGGTTTGTTTTTTTTTTGTAATCTACGTTCAAGAGCAAGCTTCAGAGTCTCTTTTGACCTCCATTTTGGGCTTTTCTTTCTTTTTAATGCCCTTTTGCTTTCTTTATGTGTGATGTCTTTGATGTCATCCCACAACTCGTCTCGTCTTCCGTCATCAATGTTAATATGTCAAATCTATTCTTGAGATGGTCTCTAAATTCAGGTGGGATATACTCAAGGTCGTACTTTGGCTCTTGTGGACTTGTTTTAATTTTCTTCAGCTTCAGCTTGATCTTGCATATGAGCAACTGATGGTTTGTTCTGCAGTCGCCCCGGCCTTGACTGATGATACTGAGCTTTTGCATCGTCTCTTTCTACAGATGTAGTCGATTTGACTCCAACGTATTCCATCTGGTGAGGCCCACGTGTATAGCTGCGTTTATGTTGTTGAAAAAAATAATCTGCAATGAATAAGTCATTGGTCTTGCAAAAATTTTTTAAATTTTTTTATTGTACCTTAGATGAAGGTTTACAGAACAAATAGTTTCTCATTAAACAGCCAGTACACGTATTGTTTTATGACATTGGTTAACAACACCACGACATGTCAACCCTCTCCCTTCTCGAACTTGGAGGACCTTTTTTTTTTGGTGAAAATGTACATAGCCAAGGTTACACCATTTCAAAAGTTTCTACATGTACAATTCAGAGACATCCATTACATTCTTCCAGTTGTGCTGCTATTCTCACTACCTTTTCCAAATTATTCCATCACTGTTATCTTCAACTCACTGCCCGCTAGGCTTCCTATCAAACCTTTTGAGTTGCTGTTGTCAGCTTGATCTCACATAGATAATTCTTTTTTTTTTTTGTACCTTAGATGAAGATTTGCAGAACAAATAGTTTCTAATTAAACAGTACACATATTGCCCTAGGACAATGGTTAACAACCCACGACATGTCAACACTGTCCCTTCTCAACCTCGGGTTCCCTATCACCAGCTTTCCTGTCCCATCCTGCCTTCCAGTCCTTGTCCCTGGACTGCTGAGCCTCATTAGTTCTGTTTTGTTTTTGTTTTTTTTTTTATTTATTGATTTATTCATTTTTATTGTACACCAGGTGAAGGCTTACAGAACAAATAGTTTCTCATGAAACAGTAGTACACATATTGTCTTATGACATTGGTTAATAACCCCAAAACATGTCAACCCTCTAACTTCTCAACCTTTTTTTTGGTGAAAATACACATAGCCAAAGATACACCATTCAAAAATTTCTACATGCACAGTTCAGTGACATTGACTACGCTCTTCCAATTGTGCTGCTATTCTCACTTAAGATGAAGGCTTACACAAAAAAATAGTTTCTCATTTAACAGTTAATACACATGTTGCCCTATGACAATGGTTAACAATCTCACAACACATCAACAATATCCTTACTCAACCTTGGGTTCCCT